GCTTCCAGCTCTCTCTCTCTCTCTCTCTCTCTCTCTCTCTCTCTCTCTCTCTCTCTTTGACACTCTTTTTTTTTTTCCAGTCATTGTGGTCGTTGCATGTTAGGAGTACTGAAAGACTCAACGATTGACATTTGCGAAAGACCATATCATATCGTGCAACAGTAGAAAATGACTAGAAGAAACCGCGAAAACCGACAACACGAGCCAAAAATATCATTTTTTTCCCCCAACACAGAACGTAACGTTCTACGAAAGGTGAACACGTTTTCAACACGTTTCAACAAGTTTTCAACACGTTTCAACAAGTTTTTAACACGTTTCAAAAAGTTTTCAACACGTTTCAACACGTTCTTAACACGTTTCAACAAGTTCTCCACAAGTTTTCAATAAGTTGTCAACAAATGGTCAACAGATGGACCAACATCCTTTCAACAAATGGACCAACAAATGGACACACAAGTTTCAGTTTTCCCAATGTTTGGTCAGCGTTGGTTTCCTTCACTTCTGGTGGAACACATGACCCCCCCCTCCGCCAAACAGTTTATAAATACAGTTCCAACGGTTGAAATGTGGTATCCACATGTGATCATCCTGTCAGAAAATTTGCCACAATTTTTCTGTTGGAGAGAGTCTAGTTGAACAACGAGTCAATTCACAGTTATCGGTATTCGACAGAGCACGTTAAGAAAGTATCAAACACTCATTGGTCGTCTTCTCGGATTGCCATTTGCACTCGGACGAGAACGTTAATGCGAGATTGATGTCAGGTCGTGATCTATTTGGCGACTGACCACCTTTGAGAAGTGGCAGACCACCTTCAAGAAGTGTCAAACAGTCGTTGGTGATGGCTGTGTATTTGTTTCCCGCACGTTATCAGTTGTCGGTGCGGATTGCCATTAGCACTCCCATGGAATTTGCATGTCCGCAGCGTGTGAGGTCCTTCTGTGGGATGCATCCGAGACGCTAATGTATCCAGCGGGGGCCAACAGTACTACATGTATGCAACACCGAGCACCCATGGGCACGTATACAAGCAATGGAAGTGATCACGAGCCTTCTGCATCGGTTGAAATGACCACCTTCAGGAAGTGTGAAACAGTCGGCGGTCTAAGGTCTCTAGTGCTAAAAGCATTCTTAGGGGATATTGCGGCCGTGTTCAGAACTGCTTGGCGTAGCACTAGATGCTCACCAAACAATTTTGGATGTCAATCGTAAGGATACATCATATGATGCTTACAAGCAAGCAGCGGCTGATTGCAGATCCTTTTATCCGGTGTGGATTTCTGAGAGCAGATTTGACGCAATCCACCGTTAGATCCATTCCGGCGAGGGGGACCTGCCATTCTGTCGCTGTTTACTGTACTCATTACGTGGGAATCGACGATGTGAGGAACCGACAATGAACATTCGTAGGGGACTTTGCAACCTTGTTTGGAACTTATTGGCGTAGCACTAGATGCTCACCAAGCAGTTCTGGATGTCGGTTATATCGACACATCATATGATGCCTTACAAGCAAACGGTGGTCGTATCCCGGCCCCCATCCCCGGTGTGGATCTATGAGAGCAGATTTGACGCAATCCACTGTTAGATCCACATCGGAGAGGCGGACCGACCATCCTGCCGCTGTTCAGTGTAGTCATCATGTGGGAGTCGACATCGCAAGAACTCGACGATGTTCCAATTGGGACGTGCTCTTGATTCGTGATGTGCAAGTGCTTACCGGGAGTGCGTTCGATCCCCTCCTCGACGTGAAGCAAAGTGCGAGGGAATCGCTCAGGGTTCACACCAGAAGTGCGATTGAACTCGCACTTTGATGGAGAAGCAGGTGCGCACTCCATCAACGGGATGATTTAATATGGACATTGGCTTCTCATTTGTATATTCCCAGATGAAAATGCCATCAAATCTTTGTGTGTAGAAGGTACATATCCATTCATACAAATATCTCTTGTCATCCCAGACATCGAGATAGAAACATCTAAAGTTGCCTAGTGTTTTTCCAAAGGTGAAGTCGCACAACACACGAACAGTTTCCAGAAATCATTCAATGCAAAAAATTCATTCAATGGCAAATTGCAAAGTACAAAGAGGCGTTTCCAAAAATCATTGAATGCAAAAAATCATACAATCCCACATTGCAAAGTACACAGAGGTTTTCCAAAAATCACAAAGTACATGGAGTCAATTTCAAATCCGGCAAGACATGACGCACATCACAATCTTCTTCATGATTTATCCATTTCATCGATAAGACAGAAGGCCTGTTAAAAAAAACATATCATTTTTTGCGAACTTGCGTAAATGATCAGTCTCCCAGTGAGAACACAGAAGGTAACAATTTCAACAAATCATCCATTTTCGTGAACGCCTTATATTGATCCTTCAACGTCAAACAACGTCGAAACACATGGGCCAAGCACACATACATTCTGGGAATAGCACAATTGATGATAATTTTGTCGAACTTGCAGTTATGAACAAGCTGGCGTTGACCGCCCAAAAAGTAATCATTTTGGCAAATTTGTGGACATGAACGGTTTAATCACAAATGCAAGGCATCCAAAGTGCGAATATGTTCGCATTTCTCATACGGAAACAACAGTCAACATTCCGTGGAGAGCACGAGATGTATTCTGGGGATAACAAAATTGGTAATCATTTAGTGCACCGCTGAATCCGTAAAACAACTTCAAGCACACATACATTCTGGCGATAAGTGGTTTCGGAATGGAGAACAAGTTCGCAATTGTCATATGGAACCAACAGACAACATTCAGTGGAGACAAGCAGATGGGGTGAACCATAAAACGGGGCGGCACACGCAGAACAGGGGCGAGCCAAAACATGTGGAAGCTGGGCGGTCGGGGTGGGGGCGGGGAGGGGGGCTTTCACACCACAAAGTCTCGTGAAAGAAAGAGATAAACACGAAATAATTTGGCGATCAAGAAGAAATCGTTGGTATCTTTCACCAATATCTTGCTAAATGAATCAAAGTATCGAGTCCCACGAGCATGTATAAACAATGTCCACAATAGGACGAAGACGTTCCATTAGTAACAGAGGAGTACAACCTCGAAATGAACAAACGCAGCACGGTGCTGCTGCCGCGGTCTGAGAGGACATGGGGAGAACAACCCGAAAATAAACAAAAGGAGCACAAAGTTGGGATATTCACATCCGATATGTAAGCGTTTACTTAAAAGGTACTGCACCATGTGGTTGGGATATTTACATCGACATCTAAGCTTCTACTTCACGTAAGCGTCCGCTGCTACCCTCTAGCTGATGTTGCGCGACAAGCAATGAGAACAACCCGAGAACAAACAAAGGCAGCATGGTACTGCCGAAAGTCCTACGAGTAAAGATGACAGGTTCCACGAAATAATGAACCCTTAAAAAATTGCTACAGCACGAGGCTGGGATATTCACATCGACACCTAAGCGTTTACTTGACCAAAACGTCCACTGCAATCCGGTACCTCATCAAAACAACAACACAACTCGAACCGGCCGACTGCTAGATCAAGTGGGAATAGATTCGCACTTCTGCTAATGGCCTTTCGAAAAAAAGCCTATGCGTATTTTAACAACAGGGTTATTATTCAGAGCCTTGGAGTATGTCCACCGCAATCCTCAGCCTGATGTTTGCAATGTCGCTTTGGGCTATCGAAAATGGTGGCGGATAGCCGCGTGCAAGAAATGAAGCGAAGGCGGGCATGAAAACACCGCAGCTCGACCCGTCCGACTGTTGAGGGACACCATGAACAACCACCTTGGGCTCCGGGAGATCCAGTTTCATTTTGTGACCATATTGACGAACTGCTTCGTCACGGAGGTATTGTGTGAAGTTCGCAAGCACATCAGAAGAAAAGCCGCCATCGTCTTGTAGGAGGGAGTCGTAGTACTCCAACCCTTATTCTCAAACACATAATAGGGTCCAATGCACTCAATTTTTATGGACAAGAATCAAGACCATGCCGTACGAGAAAATATCCACATCTTTTGTCCATTTCGCAACCCTTTCATGTCGATAGCCGCCACCGACGAGCTTGGTATAGAAAAAGGGACTGAAAATGTAAAGAGAGGGACCCCCAGGGAACGCAGCATTGGCAAGCAAGGCCAAGTACGACTCCACCTCCTTGTCGGAAAGCCATCCCCCTTGGACAAGAGTTTGAAGACTTTTTCTGGTCAACAGAATTGAACTGGGACCTTTGCGAACCGAGGAAACCACCTCATGGTCGTTGCTGAAATCTCCGCGGACACCCTGCAACATTCTCAAGTCCGTAGCGCTAAGCTCCTCAGTAGGCAAGGGAACGCGAAAACATGATGTAGTCCCAGCTGCACAAACACCCACAAACAAGTGTGAGGAGTGAGCACAGACCCCGGGGCGGAATGGCTAAGAACTGTCTGCCCTTTTCCCAGAAAAGTTGTATCCCCGACTGTTGAATGTGTCCTTCGTAATGTACTTAGGACACGGGTCTTTCAAGACACCCCGTTTGGCATCGTCATCAGACCCATCAGACAAAGCAATAACGCTTTCAATAGACGCAACCAAATGTTTCCGCAGACCTTCCTCCTTATCTATTCCACAAGCCTTCAGAACCCTGACAGATCTCTGGGAAAGGCGAGGCATCTGGACCCTTTGAAACAACCCTACAGTTGACGACTTCTTCGGTAAAGCGGCCAATGACCTCCCTGAAAGACGTTTCTCGCGCACGACTTTTAAAGACTTGATGGGAAGGGACATTGAGAACCTCACACCTGTAGAACATAGAAAACAACCCACAGCCCACAAGTTTTTTTTTATTAAGTGGTAATAGGTACATAACCCCATCACGTCAATTTGGACGAGCACAGAGCTGGCTAGTGACAGATATGCAAGTGCTTCTATTCACAAATCTTACGGTGCTTGGGATCCCTTTGAGGGAACTCGCCCTCATGTCGCGCCACTGCGCCAACGTCCATGGACGATTCGAAGGTCTGCACCTCGACGATGGCTGTGTCGCTAACCAGCTCGGTGGCAGTTGAGTCGCTAGGCAAGCCGATGGCTTAATGAAGCACCATTTCCCGACCGGTACTGAGGATAGACGCTCGATCACCCTGTTCTGCACCGCAACGGGTGGACGGAGAATCTTGGTCTTTCCGCTCTGGATCCATCTTGATGCTGACTGCCACCTCACCGCCTTCCACGGTGGATTCGACGTTCTGCACCTCGGCCACGCCTGAGTCGCTAACCAGCTCGGTAGCAGCCGAGTCGTTACCGAACTCGATGGCTTCATGAAGAACCATTTCCCGACTGGTACTGAGGACAGACGGTCGATCACCCTGTTCTTCACCGCAACGGGTGGGCGAAGAATCATCATCTTTCCGCTGTGGATCCGTGTGGATGCCGACCGTCACCTCACCGCCTTCCACCACGGGTTCTCCGCCTTTCTCATCGCCATGAACCCGAGCTTCCACCGCAGGTTCTTCTTCGCCTTCATCATCGCCAAGAACGGGAGCTTGCACGAACGTCCACTGACCTCCCTTAACGACACCCTCTCGCATCGTGGCCACAACCGAACGACTGTGCAGAACCTCTTCGGGCGTCCCGATCACCAGCACTCCTGCGTGGAGCCCCTTCACGACTTCGCGAGCCGGCCAGTGTTGAGTCTCCTCTTCCCGCTGAAGAGCACGCTTTTTCCCAGGAGCTGCTGCACTCTCGCTGTCAGTGTCCATGAACGCACCCTTCGAAGCATGACCTTCCCACTCGCTACCCTCGGTCTCCAACACTTTGCGAGACTGCCAGCGTTGAGTCTCCTCTTCCCGCTGTACAACACGCGTTCCCGGAGAGCGCTCCTCTTCCCTAGGAGTCGCTGGACTTTTGCTGTCAACGTCGACTGGCACACCCTCCGAAGCATGACGTTCGTACTCGCCAACCCCAGTCTCCAACACTCCTGCAGGGGGTCCCTCCAGCTAGTCGCGAGACCGCCAGTCTCGAGTCCCAACATATGAGAACGGAGCTGAGCAGGGGAACCATGAGCCCAACTGAAGATGCGGGGGGTAGGACGTCACATTTTCTTGGCCCCGCGGAACTGTAGCGTGAGGAACAGTTCTGGGAGAAGGCCTCGAGGGCGACGTCAGCAACTCTGAATCTATTCGGAGTTTGTGGCGCTCGCCCAAGCGGAGGGAATTGAAGGTCGCACCTTCGCTCCTTCGCAACTCAGGCATCCCGCCCTCCAAAAGTGTCGCCGTATGCTGCAGACGCTCGCCCTCTTTCAGGAGAAAGGTGTTGAGCACAAGAGACCTCTGCTGCGCACGGTGGGATGGACTCTCCTCGGCAACGAGAAACAAAGTCCTCGCAAACAAGTGCGAATCTACTCGCACTTGATCAGACCTCAGGGTGGCCTCGACTCGCATGTCGGAATCTCGACTCCCTACGCAGTGGGGGTCAGTTTCCATATACTGGGGACTCCCGGACGTTCTACGCTTTCAGCCTGACCCCTTTCCGCCCGACCCCTTTCCACCCGACCCCTTCCCGCCCGACCCCTTCCCGCCCGACCCCTTTCCGCTAGAGTCCTTTCCGCCTCACCCCTTTCCGCCGGACGCCTTCTCTCCCGACGACGTCTTGCCCGTCCCCTTTCCGGCAAACTGTGAGCCGTCTCCTCAGCCACCTCCGCCGTCCCCTTCGTCTCCTCCTCCACCCCCTCCCGGATGCTGACCGCCCGACGGAGGTTGCGGCATGCGCCAGTCAATGCCACGAGACGGTGTCGTTTCGAGTGTGTAGAAAGGCGCTCGAAACTCCAACATTTTGCTGGCGTACAACTCATTTAGCTTTTGTTCTGCATACGCAGCGACGTCCGGATCGCTCCTTTCGGGGTTTATAAGACTAAAATGCTCCACCAGAGCATCTCTCGCCGTTCTCTTAAATGTACCCGCTCCCAATCTCTTCATTCCACTCCACTCGCCATCGGCCCCCTTCATTGCCATGACCCACTTTCCATTCTTCACAGCAGGTTGGAATATCCTCGGGTACCAGACGATGTTGTGTCCCCAGACATCCTCCGGCGTGAACCGGTGATGCTTGCCGAAGAAGTAGAGTCTGTTATTCTATTAGGTGTCATGGTCCACAGGGAGCCTGTCACAAGGTTCATGATCATAGTCTCTCTCTTCCTCCCCGTCATCAGACGATTGGTCGCCGACTGGTTCGCCCCGAAACACACGCTTCAAGCCAGAAGGGGACGTGCTGTATCTCCGAGGACCACCTTCCCCTTCATCACCAACATGTCCAACCACCCGAGGAAGTGGCATGGACTCGAAATCGAAGGTTTCGGAGTCGCTCAACTCCTCCATGTCTTTTCCGCGTCGAAAGGGTCCTCCTCGTCAAACTGTGCCTTGTAGTTTTCGAGGGTGAGCGGTTCGGCCAGCATGAAGTAAACGTGCTCCATCCTTCTCAGGAAATGCGAGACAGACTCTCTGGGTGCATCGTGGTACCCATTCAGCACACCGAACACCAGGTTTCTCCGTCGACTGTATTCGAGGTCGGTCAGAGATGGCGGTCCGGGTTGGAAAAGGAAGTCCCAAACCTCCGTCCTTTTGTTCCCCGACAATTTCCAATACATGTCACGTTTGGGATCCCAGTTTCGTTCGCCGGTGGTTTGGACAAACTCGCAACCATTGCGAGTGTCTGCCACGCGTGTCTTCACGAACTCGTTAAGGTAATCGATCATCTTCGCCTCGTTCTCTAAGGTGACGACGTTCCGACCCGTGCGAAGGAGCCCCCACACGACAGACGCATGCGCCTTCCCAAAGAAAAAAACAGTTTGCCCAGCTTTGCAAAGGTTTTCGAGTAGACCAAGTAGATGGGATGGGTTCTGCTCCATCTCCCCGTAAGCAGCTCCACGAATACTAGTCATGCCGCCGTCCTCCCACATGCAACGAGAGAACCTTTCCTCTTCCGCCACGTTGAAACACGCCACAGCCTGTCCTGACGGGTCCGACGAACAAACAACTTTCGAGCGGGCCGCCAGCGCGTGTTTGGCCGGACTTGGACCACGAGCACGGGAGACCTTTGTCGGGCTACTGGCCGGGTAGACTGCCACTATGTTGTCTGCCAGGTTCTCGCCATTGAAAATCACGTATAGGCGGTCACACTCCTCAACCAGCATATTGCCTTCCCGGACAGTAGCCTGCATTTGTGCGTGGCGCACCCACTTCCCTGTCCTGACGTGATGGACGCTAAGCCTGGCCATGCCTTTCAAGAAACTGAGCTCCCATCGAGAGGGGAAAAAGACCACAAGTGACCAGTGCGTTGCCGACAGTGTTTGGAGAACGCCTTGCAAGTTGGCGAAATCGTCTTCTCGCATGTCTGTAAGGAGTGTGGGATCACACAAATCGAGGACGTACAAGTTGCACACGTAATGCCGCACAATCTCATGGATCTCAGTGATATGACTGTGAGCTTGGGAAGGCGGAAAGCGAAAGGAAAAAAGTTGGTCATCCGGTTGAGGTTGGGCCATTTGATGTGCCTCACATCCCCGCTGACCCTGATCGTGTCTCGAACTTCTTCTTTCGTTCGTCGTTAGATGGAACGGACAGACTTTTCGAAAGATTTAGGGAATCTGTCATCCTCGTACAATCTCTTCACGTCATCGAGGGACTCCTTCTCGTATGGAAGAGTACGTTTGCAAGTGTTCACGTACTCCACCGCGCCCTGGAAATGCTTTCGCAGTTCTGCCCACACTTGTCGAGTGAGGTCCTGCAGCCCGAACTCCTCCAGAAGCCGTCCCTCGGTCCGGAAAAAAGGACTCCCGTAGCGCCAAATACCTTGAAGTTCGTCCTCCTCCGTTTCAAGGAACAAGATGTAGTGAAACATCAGGAGCATCATGCGGTCCACTTTCCTCGTCGCGACCATGTCTTTAATTCCAGGTTTAAGTTGTCATTTCAGATGCCCGCCCGCCGATTGCACGAACACTCCCCTTAGTGCGAGAATGTCGTCGAGGATCGACAGTTTCTCAACATCGGTCATGTCCGCGAGACACTGCCAACAGAACATGTCCGGCTCCTTCACGATCACGAAAAACTTGTCGTTCGCTTGCGTTTTCTTTTTGGTTGGAGGCGGCGGGACCCGGACCAGCCACCCCATCTTCGTTTCGCCAGCCGTCCCTTTCGAGCCCATTTCTGGAATTGCTTGAAGACTCGGAGATTTGTCTGGCATGTATTTGCCCGGCCTCGACAATGGCGTCTTTTCATCGCCGCCCAACAACTTCCCCTCCGCCCATTTGTCGTAGAACTCCATGCCTTTGCGGAAAACGTTATCACCGGCCGTTACGAGCGGCACCCACTGCCTCAATGCATTGCCAACGGCAGCAAGGTACTCCTTGTCGGCGAGCGACAAATCTTTTTTTGCCAAGGACCAGTGAGCGTCGTTCGGACTCTTTCCCAAAAGCAGCTTTTGAAATTTGAAAAAATTTTGTTTTTCGGCCTCCTTGCTGGAAGGGTTCCCTTGAATGGCCACCGGCCTTCCTTCATTCTCCCATGCCTCCCGCATGTCCTGGAATCCGGCCTTCTGCGATTGCTGCTTAGACATCTTGTGTCTCGTGTTCTCGTTGAGACTGACCTGCACATACCCCACGAAATCTTGGTCGGAGAACCACACTACTCTCGCCGGCCACAACTGCATCTTCCACAATTCGAATATTGGCTTATCCACCAACTCCTTAAGAGCAGCCACGGTGTGTTGTCCGTTCACAGGGTAATAGTAGTACTTGTCCTTGTCCTCTGGCTTGAAGACATGTTTGTGAACCCTGTCAGCTTTCTCTGGCCTACGCGTCACCGACTTGTATATGGGTGCCAGAACCAAAGGGTTTTTCGTCTAGATCTTCCCCGTTTTCTCTTGGAATTGACTCAGCATCGCAGCCTTGATGTCGTCCACAATTTCGCGACTTAGACTGCAGTGGTCGTAATATTTTTCTCAAGGTGGGATGTCGCAGACCTTCCTGGGGTCGATGAGCAGTTGGACGGGGAGCTCCTTCTCCACGATATCACCGTCCTCGTTCCGCTCGTATTCGAGCCAGAACACTGCCGCTTCGTCGATCTTCCCACCGACAGCCCGTTCGCCACCGCTCGGCGCTCGCCGCCTCAGCAGTCTTCCTCCTTCGAGGTTTCTTCAGGCGATCGCCTTCTTCAGCGCCCACTTTCCGTTTCGATTTCCCCGAAGGTTCTCTCGTTGCCGCAACGCCTTGATGAGCCGAATCTCGTCCACCCATGGCTTGTCCTTCGCGGATGGTCAAACCGCTGGGCCTCCTCGCTTTCTTACTTGCCGTCACACCCTCTTCCTTCGACAGCCTCTTTCCCGAGGCACGTTCTCCGACATCACCTCCATCCCCGCCCATCATCGCCTCCGATTTTTCTCTCATCCTCTTCATGCGGAGGGTTTCCTCCGCCACCTCCTCTCGCACCACCCTCTGTCGCTCGCGCTTCTTCTCCGAAGAAGTCTGCTCCCCGCCAGAGCTTTCGCGGACAGTGTCCATCCCTTCAGCCTGATTCCCTCCGACATCTTGCCCCGATCTGCCGGATTCTCTTCTCCTCTCATCTCGAAGCGAATACGTGTCGTCCCCGCAGCGGACCTTGAGGATTTTCGGAGTACCGACCCGGTGAGTCCCTGCATCTGGAGAATGCAAGTCCGACGTGCTCCCACGAGCATCCGGGCAGACCTGCGTTTGAACGCTGCGCGCGAGCCCCTTGACCCGACCCCCAGCGTCGTGAATAGCACGCCCGCACCCCACTGCCGTCTCAGGAGTTTCTTGAGCCAAGCCGGACGAACCCTCATGGGGTGGCAGAAGCCGAAAAACATGTTCTCGCGGAAGAACTGGGCGCTGTTTCGGCACCTTTAGCGTGAGATCGAGGTATTCCACTGGCGATGGACGACGCTTGCTGCCGCCTTCGTAAAGCCCTTTGAAGTGATGGCACAGCGTCATGTTCGAGCCATACCCCGCGAAACGCTTGATAGGAACTATCACACCTTTAACATCTCTGAGAGACAGTTTGCACTCGTCGTACAAGCCGTTAGTGTGCAGCTTAAGGAAACCTCCAGCAACCCCGTCGTATAAGACGATGGCACCGAGAGGAAGAACGTTGTCCGCTCCCTCAGTGTCCGGAAAGCAAGCGGGTCGCATGAAAACAACTGGCCCAAAAAGGTCCCCCTGAACAACGAAGTCCAAAAACCATTGTACTTCCCTTGTGTGGATATACTGAGGAGTAGATCGCTGAAGAGTCCGTCCCTCCCCGGGGGCAGATGGTTCAGCGCTTGTGGATGTGTTCTTTGTGGACCCCATTGTACTCCCACCCGTTGACTAATACGCCCAACCTCAGACCAAGTCGGATGACCGGAAGGAAAGCAACAAGGTTTTCCCAACACCACAGAAGCAAAGTGCGAACTAACTCGGACTTCACGAAATGGAGGACGATTCCTAACACTACAGAAGCAAAGAGCGAACTAACTCGGACTTGACGAAATAGAGGACGAAAATGACGTAAGAGATGGGTGTTCGAAATGCACACGAAATCACAACAATCGGGTAAAGGAAAAGAAAGACAACAACTCTTCGGAAAGATTGCGACCCGACTCGCTGCCCTCGAAACGAGTAAGATGTGGTTTATCGACAAGTGCGAAGGGTGTCGACAAGTGCGAACTAACTCGCAGTTCTGGAGACAAGACAACAATTGCAACCCACAGTACTAGGGGAAAGTGCGAACTAACTCGGAATTGTGGAACTGAAGACCTGAAAGACGCACGACATGGGTGTCTACGAGTGCGAACTATCTCCCAGTTTCGGAGATGGAGGTTATCAACTCCTCCAGCAGTGTTGCTGAAAAAGTGCAAACTGACTCGAAGTTATGGAAATAAAGAACTGCCTTTAATTAATGAAATACCTGTCTAACCTTAGGAAAACTGCGAATTAACTCGCAGTTGTCACTACTCAAGCAGTGTACGTCACAAACTGCGAACTTACTCACAATGTATATATATATATATATATATTATATATATGTATATCAGGTCGGCGACATCACAAAGGACAGGTGAGCGAAAATCGGGAATTGATTCAGTGTTTAGTATAGAACTAGGTATTGATGCGCAATGACGACTACAAGTTGCGAAGGGGATCGAGCAACTTTATACAAACGTTATCGTGGCTATGGCGAAAGGTAATCGAGCTGCGGAATGCGGATCGGCTATGGCGGACGGAGGTGGAGGGKGGAGAAAAGACATCAGAACACGTCCACTGGCGAAACAACAAAACCGGAAATTGATTCGGGGTTCAACATGCGGCAACTGCGGCGTTATATCCTGCAGGTAGAGACAGGGCATTTGGGAATCTGTTCGGACATCGGACACAGAATAGGGCAAATCAAGTTACAGAATTTTGCCTTCGTCGTGCGTTGAGCGAGCGACCAACGTCGGACGGATATGGATGTGCGACCACCGAACCAGCTATGGTGGAGGGATTTCGAGCTAGGAAGAGCGAAGAGCGAAGAGCGAAGAGCGAAGAGCGAAGAGCGAAGAGCGAAGAGCGAAGAGCAAACCGAACACAATGCGGCAACTGCGGACGGAGGGATATTGAGCTAGGAAGAGCGAAGAGCGACGAGCGAAGAGTGAACGGGCTATGGCGGAAGGTGGTGGGGGCTGAAGACCAAATATCAGAACGCGCGCGGAAGCGATAGCGAGACTTGACTTGTGGAGCGACAACAAAAGGGATAACGCGAGGGCTGCAACACCTTTTATACTTTGCTGCAGCAGGCCTCGCGTCGGGATCGAGGTGGTGCCGAATCGATTCCCATATCGCACCCCTAGGCCCATAAAGCGCCAGGGCCTATAAACGGGTAAGAGATACCAGAAATTGTCAGCTGTCGATCAACAATTTTCAACGGCGCAGATGAACGGAGCCACTGATATGCCAGGGGCCCCAGAATCTTCGTCAACTCCGGCGTGCAATGATGTGACAGTTTCCGAAAACAAGGGGCAGGCAATGATCCGACGCACGAGATCAAGCGGAAGAATCTATAGAATCTATATGGTGCGGCGATTCGTTGCGCGCCGAGGCTAGGCGACGGTTTATTGCGCGCCGAGGCCAGGCGATTCGTTGTGCACCGAGGTAAAAAACACCAGAAATCTATTAGTTTCGGTGTCGCTGTCATTCGGACATTTTGCAAATGTCAACGGCGTTGGATATCGATGCGCTTAGCCATGCACCATCGCCATCGATGCGCTTAGCTCATCGTCATCGCCATCACCAATGCTCGCCATGCACCATCGCCATCAATGCGCTTAGCTCATCGCCATCTCTCTCCACCGCAAAGCTATATCCCCCATCGCAGCCGTCACGCTCGCCTGACCAGCGCAGCGCTTACAATCGCCATCGCTCCCATCGTAGCGCTGGCCATCGCTATCGCTGCCATCGCAGCGCAGACCATTGTAATGCGTTCCATCGCTGTGCCATCTTTCTCATCGTCACGCCATCTCTCTCCATCGCTGCGCCATCGCTCTCCACCGCAGTGCTAGCCATCCCCCATCGCAGTCGTCGCGCTCGCTTGACCATCGCAGCACTGACAATAGCCATCACTCCCATCGCAGCACTGGCCATCGCTATCGCTGCCATCGCAGCGCTGGCCATTGTAACGCGTTCCATCGCTCTCCACCGGTGGGCCATCGCTCTCCACCGCAGCGTTGGCCATCGCTATCGAAGCCCTGGCCAGTGTTATCCCACCGCAGAGCTACGCGATTTCTCTCTCCATCGCCGCACGATCTTCCTCCATTGCTGAGTGATCACTCTCCATCTCACTCCATTACTGCGCCATCTCTCTCGACCACCGGACAACCTCCATCCCTCCGCCAGAGTCTCTCCATCACTCTTGCGAGACCCCGCCATCGCCATTGTATTGTTGTTTCAGACCGTCGTCGGTGCAGCCGCCTATCACTGTGGAATCGCACGAAACAAGTGACAGGTATGCTTAACGAATGTCTAACGCGATAGAACTGATGTTGTGCAATAACAAATCTTGGTCATCGTTGTGGCAACTCTCTCCATCGGCGCTCCATCTATCTCCATCGATGCGCCATCGCTAAGCATCGTTGTGGCATCGCAAACCATTGTTGTGCGTCCTCTCTCCATATCTCTCCACCGGTGCGCGATCTCTACCGACCTTTCGTCATCTATCTTCATCGCTGCACTATCTTTCCTAATCTATCTCCTTCGTCATCTATCTCCATCGTTGCACTATCTTTTCTAATCTATCTCCTTCGTCATCTATCTCTATCGCTGCACTATCTTTCCTAATCTCTCCTTCGTCATTTATCTGCATCGCTGCGCAATCTTTCCTAATCTATCTCCTTCATCATCTATCTCCATTGCTAAGCTATCTTTCCTAATCTATCTCCATCGTCGCGCCATCTGTGTCCTTCTCTCCCCTTCGGTGCGCCATCTTTCTCCATTGCTGTGCTATCGCTAACCATCATTGCGCTTGCTATCTCAATTGCTGCGCCATGTTTCTCCATCGGTGCGCAATCTCTCTCCCTCGCTGCGGCATATCTCCCAATCAGTTCGCGATCTCTTTCCCTTCCTGCGCCATCGACCTTCTCTCCCCCGCTGCGGCATATCTCCCAATCAGTTCATTATAGTTGTCTTTAGACTGAAAGATGACCCGAATCCAGCTGTAATGATCGGACGTTGTATTCGGGGGAAGACTGTAACTCCATCCATCTCTCTTGGTGCGCCATCTCTCTCAATCGGTGCTCTATCTCTCTCCATCTATTTTCATCGATGCGCCGTCTTCCCGTTTCTCTCTTCGCAATCTTTCTCCAACTCAAAAAATAGTACGCCAAACAACTTGCACTTGTACCCGCAGTTTTGTAATGGAAATGTTCGTTTGCAAGTGCGAATTTATTCGCCCTTGAACCAACCAGCCCCCTTAATTTGTTACTGTTTAGTCCATAGGTCCAAATTAACTCGCACTTGTACCCCCAGTTTCATAATGAAAATGTCCGTTTGCAAGTGCGAATTTATTCGCTCTTCAACCAACCATCCCCCTAAATTTGTTACTCTTTAGTCCATAAGTCCAAGTTTCGTAATGGAAATGCTCGTTTGCAAGTGCGAATTTATTCACTCTTCAACCAACCATCCCCCTAAATTTGTTCCTCTTTAGTCAATAAGTCACGTCTCTTCTCGGCCCAAAAGAATGAAGTCCTTTTGTATTTACGATTTAACTCGCCACTGAACCAACCACGAAGGTAATTTCTTATTGCACGGAGTAATTGAAATGTTCTTTTGAAGTGCAAATTTATTGACACTTGAAATTTCTTGCTAATTAGTGGATAAGACCGAATTGACTCGCACTTGTATTCGCTGTTGTTCCAACCAGGAACTTAATTTCTTAATGTACGGTGAATAAGTCCGAATCGGCTGGAATTTGTACTCTCGCCTGAAAAAGTGCGAGTTTACTCGGACATATCCAAACTGCTTGCACACTCGCCTGAAAAAGTGCGAGTTTACTTGGACATATCCAAACCGCTTGCACACTGAACAAGCGGGAGAGGAGTCGAACTTGAGATACCACTTTAGCTTCAAATAAGGGTCCGACAAAACGATATGGATTCAAATGTTGTTGTTCCACTGTTTTGTGCTAAATTTAGAAATGCGAGTTTACTCCCTCTTGTTTCTTTCCCTGACCTCGTCATACGTTGACGTGATTTTCTTGTTGTACAATTTTCGTGTGAATCGTCTCTTCAAATGGGTGTCCAATCCGTCCACTGTGTCACGCCACCGCCACCGTCACGACAACACGAAGAAGACGATGTTCGTGAACATAGTTCTTGTGACAGCAGCCCAGAAGCTCCCTCTGATCGACATTGCAGTTCGAAAAGGGAGTTCTCGATGTTGACCCCGACGAATCATTCACTCTCGTCTACGATGTCCGCTCGGCGTCGTTTTGTTCGCTTTACCGACATTCCCGACTGTCAGCGCCTATCTACAACGCTAATCCCCGGTAGTGAGGGTATTCGGGATGTCAAGACGTTTTCTGGTGGATGGATGTTCGTGGACACAGATTTCTGTGGTGTGTCCGAAACGACTGGATCAGATCTCGTGCGGACAGCAGGTAGACTGTCTAAAAGCATTGAAGTTACCCAACTCCTAGCATTTGACTACAGTTGGTCGTTGGTGGATACAAACTTTTGCGGTAAGCCCGATAGAAACGGATCTGATCGACAAGAGTGCGGTGCATTTGGTAGAAACGGGTCTGATAGGGAACAGGCAAAGACACGTGCGTGTGAAAGTGCCGAGATA